TAAACCGCTAAAGAACGCTTGGTCTTTGCAAGGTAAACCGATTTCTCTTAGAGGAGGGAGTTAATACGACCGGTTGGGTTGAAACATGAGGCTAAACTATACTTTGTTGATGCAGTACTGACATTTATAGCATACTAGGATTATTACAATTTAACCGAGTTGCTTCGATCTCCTTCACTCCTCCTCGCTCGGTGAGTTGCTTCGATTACTCCTCCTCAAGCTCGGCGGGCTGTAGACCAATTTTCAGGCGCATCTTCTCCATCTTGACGCGAGCCAATGGTTTTGTTAGACCATCGGCAACCATTTGTTCACTGGGGCAATAGCGAACGTCCGTCACACTATTGTTGACCAACTCCTTCACAAAATTATAGCGAGTGTCGATGTGCTTTGTTCGGTTGCTACCGCCGGCAGATTTCAGTATCGCAATACAGCTTTGGTTGTCTTCGTGTACAACTACAGGAGCCAGAATTGGTTCTCCGGCGTCCTTCAGTAGCTTCATCAGCCACATCAGCTCGCGGCTGGCTTCGGAAAGCACCGCGTACTTCGCTTCGGTAGACGAAAGAGTTACGCATGGTTGTTTTCGGGCTGCCCAACTGATTGGTCCTCCAAGACAGAAGACGAAACCGGTGTTTGATTTCCGGTCTGTATTGTCACCAGCCCAGTCTGCAGTATGCTTCCAGCGGTCCGGATGAACCTAGACGTAGGCTCCAATCCACTGTTGACTGGAGATACCGGAGCGTCCGTTTTGCTTCGGTCCAGTCTGCTTCCGTTGGTCGACTCACCTTGCGGCCCAGAATTGAGGCGCTTATGGCGATGTCCGGTCTCGTGTTGACCGCGATGTATAGAAGAGCACCCACCAGGCTCTGGACCTCGTCGTTTCTGGGCATGGGCTCCTCCTCCTTCTGCTGTACATTCGGGTACCCGGGATCCATCGGTATCGGCGAGCGCTTCGCTTTTGATTGTCCGAACCGTTCGGCTACCTTCTGGATGTAGGTTTGTTGGTTCAGGAAAAACTGTCCGCCGGATCTTGTCACTCGAATTCCAAAATAGTGTCGCACGTCTCTAAGGCACGTAATGATAAAGTGCTCCGCTAAATGCTTCCGGACGGCTTCGTATTCCGCTTCTGTGTTAGTGACAATCAGCATGTCGTCCACATATAGTAATATGAACGTTTTTTTCTTCTTCCAGCTTCTTACGAACAGGCATGGGTCTGCTTCAGATGGCACGTAGCCCAACTGCTCCAAGACTTCGGTGATTTTTTTCATTCCACATCCTTCTAGCCTGCTTCAGACCGTAGAGACTTTTTCGTAGATGCAGTACGTTGTCCTTGACCCCGTTATGGAATCCTACCGGCTGCTTCATGAAAATGGTCTCCTCCAGCTCTCCGTGTAGGTACGCCGTCTTTACGCCGACGTGCTTCATCAGCATTCCTCGTCTGGCGGCGCACTCAGCAGGGTCCGAAAAGTAGTTTGCTTGGCGACTGGCGCAAAGACCTCATGGTAGTCGGTTCCGTATTTTTGATTGAATCCTTGCGCTACCAGCCTGGCCTTATAGCGGATCAGGTTTCCGCCCTCGTCCATCTTCTGTGTGGCTGCCTCCCACATGTTGCGCTCGGGGCTAGCCATTGCTTCTTCGAATGTGCGTGGCTCGTCGACATATTGCGCTGCTATGCGCACGGTGTCTTGGTACCGTTCTGGCGGGATGCCCTTTGTGGTACGCTCCGATCGTCGGACTACTGGTACATCAACTTCGCCGACGACGTCTTGCTCCTCCTGATAGTCGGATGTCTCAAGCTCCTCCTGCGCTTCTGTTTCCACAAACGTCTCCTCATTGGCATCGTCGTAGCTGGTCTCAAACCCTAATAGATCAGACTCATCCGATACGTCCACGCTCTCGTCCTCGTCGAACCCGAGTAGATCGAACTCATCCGATTCGTCCTCTTCAATTTAACTATTCAATATTGTCCTGTGTATGATTTTACTAATTTTACTGAAAATTTACTGAACTTCAGAAAAGTTCGTAGATCTTCAGAACAAAGCTACAGAACTTTGAAAAAATTTACAGAATTTGAAGACCTTCAAGAAAGTGTGCAAATTTTCTGATAGATTTTTAGAATCTCAGTAATTTTAATGGATCTTCCGAGAAGTTTGCAGATTTACTGTGTAACGTGCCAGTGCGGTGTTACTCCCAGCACTGATGAGACCCCCGTCTTCAATCACATGCTCGTGACTATTCCACGAACCAAGAAAACACCTACGTTCACCACGGATAAAACTCCCACTTTATTCGGTTTTGATTAACACTCACTTCCTTCCCACTTCACGGACGGTCTAGAACTTGAAGTCTCCCACTTCCTTACTGATATACTGTCGTCGTTCCTCTCTTTCCTTTGGTACCGCATTACCTTCTTGGGCCAGGGGCGGATACCTCTACCTGTCTCGTACGCCCCTCGAGTATGGCGACGGACTCGAGGCTTCAACGAACCACAAGGGTAAGTTGACGCACACTGTAGCTGTGGGATCAGGTTCACGAACTGCTTTTCGGACACACTATCGGCGTTTGGCGTGATCGACTCCGAAAAATACGTTAATACCTTAAACGTTACGGTAAAACCTAACGGTAATTCTAAATGGCGGTTAGTTAGGCACACGATCGGTTCTCAGTAGACGACGGTCTGGTTCGGTTTTTTTTTTGGTGACGGTAATTACCTGGATGTTCAACGGTACATGGCAACTTCTTCTATTTTTCCTCTCTGCTTAACTCCACTCCGTACTTCGCTTTACTATCACTTGAATAGAAGCTTTCTTGCGACTATCGTCTGCAAAGATCACCAGGCTAATGACTGTGCCTCTTGTGAACGATGACCTCAAACCGTGGCCGTTGAACCGTCGTACGTACCACGAATTCTCCACGCAATGTCCCCCATTACGCCACCCCTACGGCCGTCAATTCATGACTGAACACCGCGTCCTCTGGCGGTGGCTAGTGGCATGTCCTACATTTTATAGGGAAGTGTCTCCTACTGGCTGCTTTCGTGGAGATTCTGAGACGTTTTACCTTTTGCAAACATTTAAACCTTTTCTTGGAATACCAAAATATACGAAAACTACACGCGATTAATCTTACCAATCTTGGACGCAACACTTACACTTGTTACAACTGAGAAATTTATTAAGCCTCAAGGTAGTTCGTAGATCTTGAGAATAGAACTACGGAGCTTCAGACAACTTTACAGAACTTTAAAGATATTTGCAGTACTTCGGAAGAGTAGATATTATATTTGGAGATCTTCAGAGACATTCAGAGAAATGTGCGATCTTTAGAAAAATTCGTAAAATATCAGAAAAGTACTTCAATTCTAAAAAAAAATCTCAGCGAAGCACAAAAGTCCAAGATTTTACAGAACTCCATGGAAGTTGGAAATAGATAGATCTGAAGAACTTCAGCGAAGTCCGTAGACTTTATGAGAAGTCTATAGAACTTCAGGAAGTTCGTTTATTTTTAGAAAAAAAAAACATGCAAAACTCACAGAACTTTGTGAAAGTTTGTCGATCTTTAGAACTGTAAATCTTCAGAGAAATTTTTAAAACTTCAGGAACGTTCAAATATTTTCAGATATTTTGTAGAGCTTTGGGGAATTTTAAAGCATTTCAGATAAATCTGCAGAACTTTATGGAAGTCCGAGAATCCACAAATCGCAAATCTACTGAAAAATCTGTTTAAATAAATTTTCACAATTTGCTTGAGGTTCTGTTTTTTTTTTATTATTGGGTATCAAGCTGGAGCTACGTGACAGCTTTGTTTTCAAGACTTGACCCATTTGAATAAATTTTGCTTCTATCTTTGACAATACAGCAGAAGGACTAGCCTATGTTGGCAGCTTGAACACTGGATTCCGCGGGTATTGTTTCAAGATAGTTATAGAAAAAAAATGCTGTGACGTGTGCGCGTAGATACATACGGGTAGTAATCCGATTGAATAAGTAAATACGCTTCAAACGAAATATCTAAATTATACCGCGACCGTACCGAACAAATTCCATACGGAGATACAAAGAGAAAGTCGACAAAGAGAATCTGTCAATGTTACCTAGGACTTGATGCAATGTTCAGCTTGATTTGATCTTTATAAATCCATAATGGCGGCCATGAATATTTGTAACCTTCACTGTAATGTTTGACACTAACTGGAGGGCGTACGTTGTTCCATTTTCTCTTGTTCCTTGGAGAGGGAAAGGGAGGGATCAAAATCCGAACCTCCAGATAGTACAGTGAAGGATACATTTATATGACTAGCCTATTGGTTCCAAGCAAATCGATTAACGTACCCCATTCTAGTATAAATTCCAGTACTACACTATGTTTGTTTTGATTCGCTATGAAAGTTTGATAGATAAAATGAGGGGTTCGTGGATTTTCCTATGTTTCGAGGAGTGCATCGATTAGCTTGGGACCGAAGATAGTACCAGAGCTGAGCTCGTTTCTTCGGGACCTACTAGTCTTAGAGTTACCTCTATGGTACAACTAATCAAGGAAATGGAGCCAAATTTGGCATGTTGAGGTCATAGGGGTAGCCCTTTAGATAAGAGCGGGGTAGTATTTTAATAAAAGAAGAAAAATTTTCCTTCTTTATTTAACCGTTTTCATTTAACCGTCCATTACGTCGAATGGCTAATCAGACGAATGACCGTTTTGCTAAACTGTGTAACCCCACTTTTTTCTGCTCTATAGCTCGATATCTGTATGTGTCGAAGATCGAAGGGCTTTGGGACATTCGGGGAATTAGCGTTCGGAGAAACGACATTCGGAGGAAATTACATTCGGGGTAATATAGCACAATTGCGTGGATGGTTTGCAAGAAATTTTGAAAGTAATTTTGATAGTCTGCTATGGCCTAATTGGATCCGAACTTTGAGTGGCAGTAGGTATCAATGCAATGGTCCATATCTTCTTTTTTTGTTGGTATAAATCCAATTGAATTTTACCATATTACCACCAACCTGAGAGTTCAAACTGCTTTGGTCGGACTGATCCGTCCCGCTGTTATCGTTGTTGGATGAATTCCTCAGGAAGAACACCTTCTCGGCCGTCGGATTTGGCCACGATAGGATTCCCTTCTTATCCACGCAACAGAGGGCCTACAATCGGGATTCAAGTTTAAACTCAGCATCTTCCGGCTAAACTTAGTCTGTAGTACTCACCGTGATGCTTCCCAGCACCTGAACGACATTGGCGCTTCGGCTGAGCAGTTCGCTGCGACCGAGAAACAACTCCCACCAGAAGTAGGCAATCACCCGGCGGGGAAGTTCCACGTGATCCAGATCTCCGGTCGGTGTATCCAGATCCTCTTGGAAGGACTTTTGTGCCTCTGCTCGCATCACCGATTGCGGGATGGATAGAAGCGTTTCCAACCGGGCCGTTCCCCACAGGTTGATCGTTATCCAGAGCAGCGGAAACATCAGCGGGAGAACCGGAAGCAATGCGGCCGTCGGGTTCAACAGAAATACGTTCATCCAGTTGGTCGGAAGTTTCCCATTCAAGTAGTATCCCAGGTAGCGCAGAGCTCCAACGGTAAGCGTCAGGAGTAGGACAATTAGGAATCCCCACTGTTGGATGCATTTGCTAATCAGAAGATGCCGCTGTTGATCGATTATGGTGGTCGGACGATTCTGGAAATTATCCAATGTAGTGCGTAGATTCTCCAAATATGGAGTTACGTCCACCACGCATATTAAGTCCGGCATCGGTGCTCGCGCCGTCGGTTTTTTCGGAGGCTCCATCTCCTGGCTCAGTCCGTAGGTTTCACCGCATTTGAAAGACTTCTTTCCGGATTCTTCCGTGCATGTCCCCGGTGACACCTGCCCTGGTCGCATGACGATGTAATCTCCCCGGACCAAAAGAGCCCACGGAAGATTGACAATCTTGCCATCCCGATAAGTCCACTGCAAGGCTACGCACGGCGAAAGCGGACTGCATAGGTGGGGATAGTTAACCGCTGTCCACTCGCGACATAGTTCCGTGCCGCATTTGATTTCCTCCAGTACCCCTCGAACTTTTCGGAACATTTCCGTCTGCTTCAGATGGTCTTCCCGAACGATGATGACGAATGTCAACAGCAGAAGGCATAGAATAAAACCCGCTGAAAGGCTATAGCCAACCAGAAAAAACGATACTACAACCATCACCGTGGCCAGCAGCGAAAACCAGCTGATCACACTCGAAGGACTCCTGACAATAGGAGATTTCAGCTTGACCAACCATCTGGAAAACGAATCCTTATAAGTCAACCCAATTGCCACCGGAAAATAATGTAAACAAACCTCTGCTTGGCGAAACGCTCCTCGTACGCGCACAGCACCGTCTCGATATCGTCGTGCAACCTCTGCAGGGCTATGGTCGTGGACAGCCCAAGGAAATTCCGATCACCACTTTCTCCATCTTCGTCTTTCTTCTTCCTACGGTGGGAATCCATCATAATTGAATCCCCTCAACAACAAAAATCTCTACTATTCTAAATACACTGGCCTTAGCACTGCTTCTTTTCCCTGGGAAAAGAGGCCCACCAAATTCTACATCTTACGTTACCCCGTCGTAATCCTGTACGCACTTTTTTTCCCGTGACTATTCAACTTTTTCCACTGCCACTGCAAGCCCCAGGGAAGCACAAACAACACCAAAGACGATCGATAAGCGAAAACTGATAAGAACTGACAACTCGCAGTCACTCCGTCAGATGATGCGTTCGAGCGTTTTGTCGACTGTTTTGTTTACACGTTCGTGAACTCCTCTATGTCGGCTGGTTCATCCGTTTTGTCGACTGCTTCGGAAGAGGAGCATCCATAAATTACTGCCGGTTTCAAATGGGTTCTTAAATTTTGAAAAATAAAAATAAATATCGTTTGTTTATTTACTACACAGAAAAAAAAGTTGTTGAATATTACATCCAAACTGCTGCAACCAGGTCAATCCATCGGTTGTGTAATATAACGTTGTACGATGTACATCGATTTTGCGAACAAAATAACATCCATTGATGTAATATTCTATCTGTTTTTTGCTATTACATCATTATTTCATACATCAGCTTGAATTACATTGATCGATATTACATTTTTTTTTGCTGTGTATATGCACACACCTAACCGCATACTCGATGTTTGGTACCTTTTTTGCGAACCACAGTCGGCAAAACTACTAAATTGCAAAACATTCTGTTTTTTCCATGTTGGTATGTACCGAAATCAGTAATTTGAGATTTTAGTCGAAATTATATAGACGAGTGCACGGATGGATTTGAGTTCACTCACTCGAAAAAAAAAGTGACACTACGGCGGGGCCCTGTTTACTAAAAATGAACACATGAACAATACTCACGTAACATTTGAAACCGGCCTATCAACTTTCGTACACAAAACTTGTTAAGCCTTTTTCGCGCGAACCGAATACGACCACGCAAACTAACATCACCATCGGGTAGGGGAAATTTCCCCCTTTCCGATCGTGCTCTTGGTTTGCGTGGACGTACTTCGATTCTCGTGGAAAGGACCTAGCAAATTATTTACAAAAGTTGATATGCCTTTTTCAAATGTTACGTGAGCATTATTCATGTGTTCATTTTTAGTAAACAGGGCCCCGCTGTTGTGTCAAATTTTTTTCAGTAGATGAACAAAAGTTCACCCGTGCACTCGTCTATAGTACTGCACAATGTTTGTTTTAATTCGCTATGAAGGTTTGACAGATAAAATGAGGGGTTCGTGGATTTTCCTATGTTTCGAGGGGTGCATCAATTAGCTTGGGACCGAATAGAGAACCAGTATAGAGGTAACTCTAAGCCTAGAAGCAACAATCAATACGAAACTAACGATTTTAAATTGGCTCACCACTTTAGTAGCCTATTGGTCCCAAGCAAACGATTAACGTACCCTATTCTAGTTGAAATTCTATTACTACACTATGTTTGTTTTGATTCGCTATGAAAGTTTGACAGATAACATCAGGGGTGTGTGGATTCATGCAGAGCATGCAGGGGTGAGTGAAATAGCTTGGGACTGCTTGGGACCGTTGTTCTGGTACTGAGTGAGCCAGAAATAATAATGATTTTCTTCGGGACCCAGTGGTCTTAGAGTTACCTCTATGCTAGAAGGTCCCGAAGAAACGTGCTCAACGTTTTGGCTCAGCTTTGGTATTATCTTCGGTCCCAAGCTAATCGATTCACCCCTCGAAACATAGGAAAATCCACTAACCCCTCATTTTATCTGTCAAGCTTTCATAGCGAATCAAAACAAACATTGTGTAGTACTAGAATTTTGACTAGAGTGGGGTACGTTAATCGATTTGCTTGGGACCAATAGCCTAGTTAAGTAGTGAGCCAATTTAAAATCGATAGTTTCGTTTTGATTGTTGAAAAACGAAATGGAACATTGTGAAACGGAACGCAGAATCAAAACAAAATAGAAAATAAGGCTACCAGAAACACGATTTTCTTATTTTGAACCCCGTTAATATGCATGAAGTGTCGTTCAGATTAGCTGGCGTCCACGGTATGTTCGAATTCTTTGTGTTTAATAGTTTTAATTTCTTCGGGAGTAAATTGTGCATTTATGGCTATTAGGACTCCTCAGAAGTACACAGCAAAAAAAAATGTAATATCGATCAACGTTATTCAAGCTGATGTATGAAATAATGATGTAATAGAAAAAAGCAGATACAATATTACATCAATGGATGTAATTTTGTTCGCAAAATCGATGTACATCGTACAATGTGATATTACACAACCGATGAATTGACCTGGTTGCAGCAGTTTCGATGTAATATTCAACAACTTTTTTTGCTGTGTACCTCTTCTTTTATATATTCTGCACAAAATATATTTTCTAAGCCCCGCCCGATTCACAAAAACGGCGGGAAATCCTGTAAGGGGCAAGGCATAGAAAGTATTTTGTGTGCAGAAATAGAAGGGACTTCGGATGTTAATGTAAATGTATTTATAGAGGTACTAGACATGTTTTGCAGTATCAGCATAAAGGTAACTCTAAGACCAGAAGGTCCCGAAGAAACGAGCTCAACTTTTTGGCTCAGCTCTGGTACTATCTTCGGTCCCAAGCTAATCGATGCACCCTTCGAAACATAGGAAAATCCACTAACCCCTCATTTTGTCTGTCAAACTTTCATAGAGAATCAAAACAAACATAGTGTAGTACTAGAATTCTGACTAGAATGGGATACGTTAATCGTTTGCTTTGGACCAATAGGCTAGTCAAGTAGTGAGCCAATTTCAAATCGATAGTTTCGTATTGATTGTTGGTATCAGGTACTCTATTTTGTAGTCTGTGAAAGGAAATTCTAGGATTGTTGACGGCACTGTCCTCTGTTAACAACTAACGGAAAGCAGTGTATGCGTAATTTCCAACAGATGTCGCCACAAACAACAGTAGTGACATCTGATGACCACCGGTTCATTGTAAAATCCCAGAAGGAAATAAAAGTTTCGGTCTTAACAAAAGCTTTACGATGCTTGGGCGTAGTTTGATAAAGAAGACTCCAAAAATAAACTAATAGTAAAGTTTAAAAAATCCCGATCTTTAAAAGACACAGGATTAATTTCCTTAGACATAGATTTTATTATCTAATTATTATTAACTTTTCGGGTCAGCTCGGCTTCTCGCATTCAATCTTCTGCCTAAATAATGAAGTGAAATCATAAATATGGAATAAAGCGTTTGATAATTTTCTAAAAAGAAAAGACGGCGAAATTCAAAAACGGGAAGGCAAGGCACTACATTGGTCATATAAAATAAAATTGAAAGCAAAACTCATGAAATCCTGACGAATGTGCGCGTCTATAGTGGAACACCTGTACTGCCCTGTGCGGCATAACAGTCCCATTAGCATTTTTGGCGATTATGAGTTATACATTGGAATCGATTGTCAAGTACCATCACTTTACAATGTACACGAAAAAAATCCTACTTTGTTCAGAAAATGTCGCGAAAAATAACAAAACTATGTTGTCCCATCCATAAGAGTCCATGGAGAAAAAAATCTTCAACAGCGTTTTTCTCAGCTTGCTGTTTTAACGAATGGGACAACTATGCTGAAAAGGGCAGTGTAGTTGATAATTAGTACAAATAACTGAAGAAGTTCGCACATTGTAGCCAAAATACGGCGCCTTGGATAAGCAATTAAGGTAGTGGAATTAAATAGAAATTACTGATGCTTCTCTCTGGAAACAACCACGATTTCTGAATGCTTACCATTCCATGACAGGCAAGTACCATAGAGGTAACTCTAAGACCACTCGGTCCCGAAGAAAATCATTATTATTTTTGGCTCACTCAGTACCAGAACAACGGTCCCAAGCAGTCCCAAGCTATTTCACTCACCCCTGCATGTTCTGCATGAATCCACACACCCCTGATGTTATCTGTCAAACTTTCATAGCGAATCAAAACAAACATAGTGTAGTAATAGAATTTCAACTAGAATAGGGTACGTTAATCGTTTGCTTGGGACCAATAGGCTACTAAAGTGGTGAGCCAATTTAAAATCGTTAGTTTCGTATTGATTGTTGCAAGTACCGCGACGATGGAAACCTCGAGTGAGAGCAAGACCACAGCGTAATCAAATAACCGACGATTGATTGAAACCGTCCTAGCAACGCATCGTAGTCTGCGCGGTTGGTCGATCGATTCATTCATGAAAAATTCCTGGAAGCGTTCTGATACTGAATTGCATTCTTCTCTCTCCGCTAAAAATAGCCACACCAGATCCTTCGGCCAAACAGAAGTGTAGAGAGCGTACTCGAGGCGCCTTGCCCGCACAGCATGTCGTCTCCAGTTTCAATGGAGGCACGTGTGTTCGTGTTGTTGGTAGAATTTGGTGAGAACGCGAGAGAACTTACCTGCGAAATTTGGAGAGCGAGAAATGTCCCATTCACTCATTCAGGCGACTAGTACCTACGATCAGCCAAAAGAAAACGGCAGAGCAAACGATCGCGAACCGCCGTCGAGAAAGCAGGCAGAGAGCGTTGAAGTGAAGATCCAATATCGTCGCGAGATCAAGTTTTTTTTTATTTGCTGCAACTAACCAGTCTGGAGTGTTGAGATTGTGCTTTGTGTTGAGGAGTTTATTTTTTTTTCAGAAAGGTGCAGGTGAATTTGTGTCGGGTGGCGTTGTCCTCGGGTGCGATTCTGGGCGAGATCAGTGCGTTGTGTGGGTCGTTGAGGATCGGTTGAAGTGTTAAAAGTTGAGATCGCGATCGGATGGTATCGATTTCGGTCTTCCTGTAGGCTTGAAGGAAAGGAATTTTGACTTTTCCTTTGCATGCGCGTGAGAGTACCTACCTAGCTCAGCAGTAGCGCTGGAGAAGGGTGCCTGTATTGGTGGTCGCTTGATCTCGCTTGTCTGCAAGATTACCAATACCGGGGAAGAAGGCGATCACAACAATCGACACCAATACCAGCGTGCGTGGCAAGTGATCGATAAAGTGTGATCATGTTTACAGTGAGGCTATAGTGTAGGAAAATACGGGACGTTTCGATTTGGAACGTGGAGAATTGTTAGACGAGGGTTGATTTTTCGAATCAATCGGTTTGAAACGAGTTTGAATCATATCTGAGAATAATACCAAAATTTCTAAAACGTACCACTGCTTACGGAATTCATTAGTTTGGAATTCCGAAGATCAATCACATTCCACCGGTCTGAACGAACGACGACGCTCAAGTATTTGTAAACTCTTCGAATGCGTTATTCGACTTCGATCCCATTCACCGTAAATGCGCAAGTTGATTTGTTTACATATTAATTAGGTACTCCCGGAGAAGAGGAAAATACTCCTCCTCTGTCGAGAGATCACCGATCACACAGTTTAGTGACTTGTGTTTACGTTTCTAAAAAGAAAAGACCCCACTCTTCATCAAAGATATGAATTTCTGAGTATTTCAACTCGAGAAACGATCAGCAGTGTTGACCTTGACGTCGTAGTTGCCGTAGAATACAAGTACCCACATTCAAAACACTGATCTCGTCAGACTTGCTGGGGACAACAAGTGGATTCATTCATATCAACGAGCGCTCGCTCAAGTGTCGAACAGCTTATCGACTTCCGCTAGATCGGGTGAACCTCTACTTATAGTTGAAACTTTGCAGATTATCATCAAGACTCGTGTGCCGGAGACATGTTGGAAGGTAGAAAGATTCTAGCGATATGGCTAGGCGCTGCCGTCGGGTTGATCTGCTTGGCCCAGTTCGCATACTCGTGTAACGAAATGGTCTGCGCCAGTATCGTGTCCAAGTGTATGCTGACGCAGAGCTGCAAGTGCGACATGAAGAACTGCTCCTGCTGTAAGGAGTGCTCGGAGTGTCTGAGCTATCTGTACACGGAGTGCTGCAGTTGTCTGGAGATGTGTCCGAAGCCGAACGAAACGACCAACGAGCTCAGTAAGCAATCGCATGTGGAAGAGCTGGAGGGTTTCCAGAATCTGTTCAATGTGCTAACCTCGGAGGAAGACCCCGAGGAGCGTTGGAGGATCTACACGTTCCCGATCGATCTGGACGCGGCGCTGTACGGGACGAATGGGGAATCCGGCATGAAGTATTTGATGCGTAAGTAGAATTATCAACCGGTGGAAGCTAAAGATTTTAAATTGGCTCACTACTTGACTAGCTTATTTGTCCCAAGCACATACATCTATAAGCGTACCTCATTCTAGTCGAAATTCCAGTACTACACTATGTTTGTTTTGATTCGCTATGCAAGTTTGACAGATAAAATGAGGGGTTCGTGGATTTTCCTATGTTTCGAGGGGGGCATCGATTAGCTTGGGACCGAAGAGCTGAGCCAAAAGGTTGAGCACATTTCTTCGGGACCTTCTGGTTACATTAGAGTTACCTCTATGGAATTATCGTCTATGTTTGACTTTGAGTATAATCAACAATCAATACGAAACTATCGATTTCAAATTGGTCTATTGGTCCCAAGCAAACGATTAACGTACCCCATTCTAGTTGAAATTCCAGTACTACACTATGTATGTTTTGATTCGCTATGCAAGTTTGACAGATAAAATGAGGGGTTCGTGGCAGATTGTATCTAGAATACCACTGTCAGACAGTGGGAGTTAGATTGAAAACACTCACAAACACACACACACATATGAATATTTGTTATCTTCGCAGTATGAACATAGAGGTAACTCTAAGACCACTGGGTCCCGAAGAAAATCATTATTATTTTTGGCTCACTCAGTACCAGAACAACGGTCCCAAGCAGTCCCAAGCTATTTCACTCACCCCTGCATGTTCTGCATGAATCCACACACCCCTGATGTTATCTGTCAAACTTTCATAGCGAATCAAAACAAACATAGTGTAGTAATAGAATTTCAACTAGAATAGGGTACGTTAATCGTTTGCTTGGGACCAATAGGCTACTAAAGTGGTGAGCCAATTTAAAATCGTTAGTTTCGTATTGATTGTTGGTATGAAGGTATGAATAACTTGCAGTTGCTTGCAGTTTCATGCGGAAAAGGAGGTGTTCGCTGCACTACACTCTCTTTACTTCTCACCCGGAGGATACATTCCCAAATCCTACAATAAACAGACCCAATCTTGATACCCTATCCAGGTTGGAACTGAATCGAAAAGAAAATTAGCTATCCAGCATTTTACGAGCGCTTATGGCCGCCACAATCTGGCTGAGTTTTTGGTAGGGAACATATGATTTGACGTTTGGGTTGTGTCCTTTGACTTGTCAACGTTCAAGTTTGATCGTTTACACGTCAAACGACACAAGCCAAACTTCAAATCTTATGTTCCCTACCAGAAACTCAGCCAGATTTTGGCGGCCATAAGCGATCGCAAAATGCTGGATAAGTTGGCCAGCTTTTTACGCTTGCCATTATTTCAATCCATCACCCCTCGGCTTCGACTCACTTACTATAAAAAAATTGATTTTCTGAATTATAAAATCATTAGATTTTATAATGAAAATAAGTAGTTTGAAGTTACAAGAAGGGGTAGTAAAGTATGTGTTTGACATATACAATCCTATACAATTTGTCAATTTCGCTTTCAGTGCGTCACAATCAGCGATTCTACGATTCGTGAGCGCTCACTCTGAGTGAACGCTCACGAATCATAAAATCGAGGATTGTGACGCACTGAATGGGAAATTGAAAGGATATATGATTAAAACACATGCTTTACAACCTCTATTTGTAACTTACATCACAGAGAACAGACATCCAAGCTTAATTTTTTCTACCCCATTCTAATCAAAATTCTAGTACAACACAATGTTTGTTTTGATTCGCTATGAAGGTATGACAGATAAAATGAGGGGTTCGTGGATTTTCATATGTTTCGAGGGGTGAATCGATTAGCTTGGGACCGAAGAGAGTACCAGAGCTGAGCCAAAAAGTAGAGCTCGTTTCTTCGGGACCTACTAGCATAGAGGTAACTCTAAGACCAGAAGGTCCCGAAATAACGTGCTCAACTTTTTGGCTCAGCTCTGGTACTCTCTTCGGTCCCAAGCTAATCGATTCACCCCTCGAAACATAGGAAAAACCAATAACCCCTCATTTTATCTGTCAAACTTTCATAGCGAATCAAAACAAACATTGCGTAGTACTAGAATTTAGACTAGAATGGGGTACGTCAATCGTTTGCTTGGGACCAATAGGCTAGTCAAGTAGTGAGCCAATTTAAAATCGTTAGTTTCGTATTGATTGTTGATTATACCCCGTACAGACTATGGCTTATATCAACAATCAATACGAAACTAACAATTTTAAATTGGCTCACCACTTTAGTAGCCTATTGGTCCCAAGCAAACGATTAAAGTACCCTATTCTAGTCGAAATTCTAGTACTACGCAATGTTTGTTTTGATTCGCTATGAAAGTTTGACAGATAAAATGAGGGGTTATTGGTTTTTCCTATGTTTCGAGGGGTGAATCATTTAGCTTGGGACCGAAGAGAGTACCAGAGCTGTGCCAAAAAGTTGAGCACGTTTCTGCGGGACCTTCTAGTCTTAGAGTTACCTCTATGCTTATATCATGTAATATAGGCTGTCTTGCAATGAGCGCTCATGCATCTAGTTTTCACTGGAAATCTTATGTATGAGTGCTCATTGCTAGACAGCCTATATTACATGATATAGGCCATAGTCTGTACGGAGTATTAGAGTTACCTCTATGATATCTAATGATTTCATGATTCCGAAAAACAATTTTTTAAAGCAAGTGAGTGGAAGCAACCCTGTCCCTCGGTTTAACCACAAACGAAGTGACAGACGACTAATGAGCGAAGAGATCAATTAAAATAATGTGGTTCGCTGTAATAGAATTTTCTTAGAAGCTTGTGCCATCAGCCACCAGATGGACCAGTATTTTTGTTTTGATTTAAACAAAGTTGATTTTATGTGCAATGATCTTTGACAGTGTGCAAAGAGTGTATCATTTTGTCATTTTTATATGGCTTTCAGTGTTGAGTAAAATTAAAGAGATAGAAACAAAACATTCTAGTACATCTGGTGAGAATGCTAGTACAATCCAGTAGTAGCATAGAGGTAGCTCTAAGACTAGTAAGTCCCGAAGAAACGTGTTCAACTTTTTGGTTCAGCTCTGGTACTATCTTCGGTCCCAAGCTAATCGATTCACCCCTCGAAACATAGGAAAATCCACTAACCCCTCATTTTATCTGTCAAACTTTCATAGCGAATCAAAACAAACATTGTGTAGTACTAGAATTTCGACTAGAATGGGGTACGTTAGTCGATTTGCTTGGGACCAATAGGCTAGTCAAGTAGTGAGCCAATTTAAAATCGATAGTTTCTTATTGATTGTTGGTAGTAGTGTTGCCATGCGGTTTTCGAGCTCCGTCTGTCACTTCGTTTGTGGTTTGACGTTAAGCAAGCACCACACGGGCAAAAATATTGGCAATGCTCAAAAGTATTGACAATCATATTGATGCAAATATTGACGACGAATATATTGATGAACATATTGACGCAAAATCAAAAGTGGACCCTACACGATTGCTTTTATTGACAATGATCGTATTGTCAATACATTCTATATTGACGTCAATACATCGGTATTGACAATATTTCTGTATTCACGTCAATATATTGAAACGTGTGGGGCTCACTAAAAAAGTTCGATTTCATGTTTCAATATTTCCCCTTCTGTTTAACTACAGCAGTAGATGGGGCCTGTCCTTTGGCCAGGGATGCCAAAAATACAGAATAATCTGTATTTAAACAAATTTTTTAGCAGTTTTTAAACCAAGAATCTGTATATACGGATACACAGATTTTTTGATTGGGTAAAAGTATATGCATATATTTTGAGGTATGTCTTTAATTCAGCTGCGTTAGTCTTACTTCCATTTTACCGTAACCTTGCTTCGAGAGTGTAGAACTCAATGAACTGGATTGCCGGGGTGAATACTGTGGATTTGTTTTATTTTTAAAGTCGTCTTATTTTTTGTCACGATAAAACTTTGAACCTTGATTTGTAGTCTCTCTCTGAATAACCAAAACCGTTGTTCTTCAAAGTCCTGACATCGTGACATCGAAGTTGTGGGCATTACGCTCACCCCAAACCCCGTTTCCAGTGTCGGTTCCCGCGGAACCGGGACCATCTGTGACGTGAGCAACCTGTAGGTCCCCTGACACCGCTTGGTCAGGCGAGAACGGTTCTTCTGGTTTAGCCTCCCCATTCAGAACAAATGTTGCCAGCCGGATCTTTTTTCGTCCAGTCATTACTGTAAATTGCGAATGCTTCAAAACTGATCAATCCATACCATTCCACTCATTACAGACTCCAGTGACAACGACCTGAAGCCACGCTTCGAAGACTCGTCCAAGGTGACGGTCAACTGTACCGTCGCCTACATGGCCCAGTGCATGTCTTGGAACAAGTGCAAGGAAAGTTGCCTCACCATGGGAGCGTCCAGCTATCGGTAGGTATCCACTGTATACGTAATCAAATAAAAATGGTAAACACCAATTTAACCGTAGGTGGTTTCACGATGGATGCTGCGAGTGCGTTGGTCAAACGTGCATCAACTACGGCATCAACGATTCACGCTGCCGGGAGTGCCCGGAGAACAAGGACCTGCTGGATCTGGAAGAGGGACCCAACGAGGACGAGCTGGACTACGGCGATGGGGTCGGACCATTAGACAATGGAGGCGTCGAGTCGACCAATATCTGAATGATGGGGGCTGCGTGGCTGGTGGTAGCGATGGCAGCAGTGACGGCGGTACCTGGTTGGATCTAGACGGAAGAGGGGCTTGTGGATGAATAGCAGTTTTTTTTCAATCGAATTTTGAACAGTCTGGTATAATGTGCCTTATTAGATGTGTGGCCGTTTTGAGACAGGACTCCAAACGGCTTAGGATTAGTTAATCTCTGTGTATTAACCGGAAACGAAGTATTTGCTGAGTGTACTTGAGGGACGAGTTCTACGTATTTAACTTAACGGGTGATGAAGGAGCGGTGAGGACGACAATGACGGAGAAATGAAGTATTGCAACTAATACTTAAACATTTATTATTTTTGTAAAATAAATCTATACCCGAACAATGATTTTAAAATCGTCTAGATGACTACTTTTTCTTCTTACCCTTTTTAAACTTCCCCACGGCTTTCGCCACTTTGGCAACGCGTTTAAACGTTTCGCCTTGCTCGTCGACTTCTCGCACCACTTGTTTCTTTTCCACCGATATCTTCCTCTTCACAGGTTTCCCCTGCTTTATCACCTTCGTCAGCAGCCGATTCATCCTCTCAATCTCTGTCCTCATCTCCTCAAGCTTATCATTCATTTCCGTGGGAGTGCTATCCAAGGAAGTAATCTCCACGCGTCTACTGTCCATAATCTCCTTCAGCATGATACTCGCATCAGCGATTTGCAACGCTTCATCCATAATGTGCTCGTCAAGAGTCATAAACAGCGGAAATTTTAGAAATCTCAAATTCACAAAGAACCCCTCCGATCCTCGGACGAGCCACCCACCGGGCAAGTTCGGCACTACCCGCCACTCACCCTTGGGCAACTTCTGACCGCGCTGCTGAAACTGCTGGCTTTCCGCCTGTGGACTAATGTGCTGCACCAGAATCTTCCGGAGTTCCTTCGGCTTAACCACGATCACGTACGAATGGTTCTCGAAGAACGAGCTCGGAAACAGTCGCCGGATCAGCTCGAACGGCATCTCCCGTAGACCACGTTCGTATAGCTCCAGGATCAGGACCTTCTTTCGCAGACTGATCAGTTCTGATTCTTCCTTGATGGCGGTGATGTCGCTGACGGCAAGACCGTTAATCAAGTTCAAGATCACGATCGGGGCGAAGAAGATGAATAGCACAAATAGGATGATCCTTCCACCGCTGAAATCTACCCCGGCGGCTTCGTATTCCCCGGTGGTCATGACTAGGGTCTTTAGGGCAGCACTCGAGAAGGTGCTAAACGTGTTGAACGGGATCTCGTCTTCCGTGGAGTTCCGAGGTATGGTGCGATCGTTGTAAGACAGGAAGAAGCTGAAGGTGAATGCACCGAGTAGCGGGATGAAGAGCAGGAAACTCTTCATGAAGTTCACGGAGACAGTTTTGAACATATACATGTACGTAGAGAGGGTGTTGAAGGGAAGTGATCCAATCAGGACGGTGAGCTGTAGGGCAAAGGCGATGACGATCAGCGAGGAGATGATTGATCGACAGCCGTTTTGAAGCACAATTATCATGGCAATGATCGTTGCAAGGTCCAGGTAGTTTTCAAACGAAAAGAAGTACTTTTGTCGGAGGAACAGGATCTGGACGGCTTCCCGTACGATCATGTAAATAGCACCGAGCCAGGTGAAGACCTCTAGAACAATCGAATGACTGTTGTCTTCGTTGCAGGAATCCAGGGAGTGCATTCCGAAGCAGATTACAGTTGCGAGTGTGCAGAGCAGATTGAGATAGATCCATTTGGTGAGGCGTAGCCACTTGACCAGAATGAAGGTGTAGATCACTGGATGGAGTAGGAGGCGTTTTAGTTCTTTGGACTTGGCGATTATTTTGATGGGATCCATTTCGGTGACGAAGGTCTGCTGCGGCTGTTGGTGGCAAACATTTGAGGACGAAGCCTTTTCCACGATTCGCCACAAGTTCAACTCACTGCGGTCCTTGGGCACGGCTTTCTTGGTGGGGCGTTTCTTGAAGATGTACGGATCGAACCCATTCAGGTTGAGACGGATTTCGTTCCGATCGAAGTACGATCGTCTAATATCGATCGTCACGCACTGGTCGAAGTACATCTTCCAGAATTCGTACCGCGCAAAGTCCAGCGGAGTTTGATTATCCTTGTTGCGAACTCCGAGAAAGGCATACTTTTGCTGCAGTAGATCCAGGGCAATGTCGGTGAAGCCAAATTTCAGCGCCGTGTGCAGAGCTGTGTTGCCATTATTGTCCGTCCTAGTGAGATAGATCTTCTGATCTTTGGCTAGCAGTTCTGCGCACTGCAGAACCCTTGCTCGTTCTTCCTCGCGCCTCCAGAGCTCTTGGGCGCGGTTTAGGGCAAACACCAGAATCGGATCGTCATTCACCAGAACCCGATCGGTGATGTTGGCCAGTAGTAGGGTCAGCGTGGCCACATTGCCGCGCTCGCAGGCTTTTTTGAGAAGACCCTTCAACTCCACTCGGTAAATCAGTTCAGATGTCTTGGCGTCACGTTCCAGGTCTGGTTCGCTAACTCGAAGCGCTTTTCTTTTGCTTACGGGTTTTACCGTTTGAAAGATGGTCTGACCCGCATGTTCTACGATTTTCTTTACGGCCCGCTCCATATCCAGCTCAACCGCAATGTGAAGCAGTAGTTTTATCACCGGTCTTACGTTTCCCTCGTTGATCTTGAACTGTTGAAACTCTCGTTCGAACCGTTGCTGCTCCTTGAACCGAAGTAGAATTTCCAGCAGTTCAACTGTCACGTTAATCGGTACCCATTCTTGGTAGAATCCTAGAACTAGCTGCTTAGCCTCAGCCCGTTTCCCGATCGCAATGGCTACGTTGAAGCGTTTGACGCATTCCTTCAGGAATGCTTTGTTTTCGGCGGATGAATTCCTCATCAGCAGCTCGAATGGCAGTTTGAGACGATCGCTACAGACATTGAAATCCGCTCCGTGCTCCAGCAGCTGCAGCATACAGTGGCGTATGTCTTCCACCTTGACGGGACTCTTGGTAAGTTGCAGTGCTCGCTTCTTGAACTTGGGACTATTCATCAGGGCGTCGTATTGCTCACAAAGGAGAAACAGTGCCGTTTTACTCTGCTTGTTGCGACTATTGACTTCGATGGATGATCTGGACAGGAGCCACGTAATGAAGCTGATGTTGAGCGATTCGACGGCGTAGTGGAGCGGAGTGTTCAGTTCTGGGACTATTTTCTGCAAAGTGAGAGGAGAAAGGAAGTAAGTAGTTAAGAATCATTATCTATGGTGCAACGTACCTCGTTGATGGCTGTGAACCGCATTATGAAACACTCAAGATAGGGCTGATAGAGGGTGTTCGATTCAAGCATCTCTCCAAATATTGGTTGAATTTTGGCGTTGAACAGGAAGGACTTCGGCTCCGGGATCGTGGTCTGCACGTCCCAGTTCTTCATTTCCTCGATTAGGTTGTGCAATGTATCCCACCGGGCGTCTTCCAGCAGTTCATGCAGCTTGGGTAATCCAACTTTGATTTCCGGTTCATCGAGAATAGCCTGTAACGCATTGTTCATAGTTGTCTGTAAAAGAGCACACCGGACAGTTGCTGAATCTCTTATCGCTATAGTTTATACAGATAGCAGACAGGTAATTAATTGAACGCCGTATATCATCGACTGTAGAGCAAATAATGCTATCGCACTTTCCAAGATACCATCCGAGTTTCAACAAGCTTTGTTCTCTGAAACGTTACCTGCAATTCCTTTCGCTGATTGCGTTTCGCCTGTCGGGTTTGTTCCAGAACCAGATACGTCGTGTCCACTGCCACACAGATGAAATCAAAACGAGTGTTTGTAGTAAACAAACCATCCTTTCAGAGGGAATGCTTGATAGACAATGATGATTCATCATACTTACCGACTTCGGGTTGAGCAGGTCGCCCCTGGGCTGCCATACTGCAATTCAGTCGAATTCCTCTAGCATCTACAATGGATAAAATCCCACAAACTTAATTAACTTTCATTCTAATTAAAATATATCACAATTAATTTGACAGAACCGGTTTCTGGAGCAGGCGAGAGCGATTACTAGAGGCAACCGAAGTGCGCTGCGAGAGAATGGAGACTGAACTTAAGTACCCAACTCACTATTAACGAGTGGATACATACGTACGAGCGCCTTAAGATTGTGGGTGCGAGCAAACCAGAGACTCGGAACGCGCTCGAACAAGAGAGGAAGAGTGAAGAGAGTAGGCGGTGAGAATGATGCGAATACTCGTACGAGAACCGAGAGTGGAAATGAAAGATTCTCTCACGTTGGGAGGAGACCACGTGCCGCCATCAGAGGAATTGAGAGACGGACTGCCAAAAGAAGAATCATGATTGGTTGAGCTAGGTTGAGCTAAGTCATTTTAGTTGAAGGTAGTTGGTTATGCACCGATGTTGAACTTTTTTGGACTTGGAGAATCTTAAGTAAATTTTCTTAATCAGCCTGAACTGGGGACATATGGGTGGGCGGAGGTCTTTTGGAGCAAACTGTACCTTTTTGATTTTTTGAAGTTTTTTTTTGTCGTGATATTGAGAAGAAACATCATACATGTTGTTACCCCCGGATCTTCCACCCTTTGAACAACCAATACTGGTGATACATCGTGGAAGTACACCCTCGGAATTTTTTGTTATGTTGTTCCGCATTGGTTCTTCGTTCGCAAATTTTGTGAGAGTGGAATTACGACCGGAGATTTTTTTGGTCTTCTTTTTGTTCGTTGTTTACACGTGAAATATCAATCGAATGCATTTCAAATGAATCGGGCGTGACTAGATACTACAGAATCAGTACGTTTGTCATATTAACCCTCCGTTACTCGCGTCAACTTTTGTAACACGAGTACACAGCAAAAAAATAATTTTGATATCACGTCAAAGTGGATGCACTACAATCATGTCGAAAATATGGTGTAATATTACTTGCTAAAAAGGACAAAATTATCATTAATACAATGCATGAACTGACATTACGCTGCTTTTACTACATTTGTTTATTTATGTGGTGATAAAAATCACATGAAATTTTCGACATGATTGTAGTGCATCCACTTTGATGTGATATCAAAATTATTTTTTTGCTGTGTACTCGCGCGTTGTACTTTGTACAACAGTGTGAGTTTCCCATTGCCATTTTGCAGCCGAGCTACCAATCGATATGAAACCAACGGGTATTCATTAAAAAACTTGTTTTTAACTAAACAAGTTAAACTTTTATCACAGCTAACCCCCCAAAAAAATGCGGATAATAGAGAAAATTTGAATGGAAACCGCGTAAACGGTTTCCGTTCTACGTGGGATTTGACTTAATGGTTACAACATGAAAAATCTCGAGATCCTGATCAGCTAGAATATTACTGTCTTGGGCAAAGTTGTTCTAGAGATCGTAACCTTTTCGCTGGTGGAGAGTAGTTCAGAATTTTCTCACTACGTAGCGCTAGAATACATGTGAAATTATCGCACGTGATATATCTCGCGATCATGACCAGATAGAAAATTACTGTCGTCGACAAAGTTTTTCATGAGATCAAAGCCTATTTCTCGCATCTCACTGCGTCCTAGCAAGAAGAACGGTCGACTTGTTTCGCGCTCCGTTAATTTGGAAGTTTTCTCGCTATTATCTGACGTAAATAATCAGTTTTTTCTCGCTTAGTGATTCCTGCTGAGTGCCGAGCTTCATACAAGCACACACCAACGAAGACCGCCCGCACACGCGGATCGAAGATCATCAAAGCTGCGCGTCGCTCCGCTGCTGCTGTGTAAACGCTCGGTGGTAGTAGTATAGGATTATCAGATAAGTTTTTGTTCTTGTTTCTTTCTTTCTCCCATCAGTTAAATTTTAAGTTTGTGTTTCTGTGTTTGTATTTTTTTTCTCGTGTATTGTGTCCGAGTAATTCTGATTATCGTTGCAGTGGTAGAGCGTTTTTCGCTCCCACTAGTACGGCAAAATGGACATTTTGTCGGAAGACGAAATGGACGTTTTGTCGGAAGATGAAACCACTTTGCCACGCGATAGCAAGAAGGGTCGAAAACGTCTGTCATCCCAGAAATCAGATGATGCCATCCCTGCTTCGTCATCTCAGTCTGGTAATGGACAGGGACAGATAAGCCCCCGATCGCGAGCCTACCCAGAAAACTCGACTGGCCCATGGGTTGTTTACTTTCAGCCCAAAAAGAAACCTTTGAATGTAATGCAAATTACTAATGATCTGACGAAGCGGTTCTCGGCCGTGACCGAAATCTCGAAGGTGAGGTACAATAAACTTCGCGTTGTCGTCTCTAACCTGAAACAAGCTAACGAGATTGCTGCCTCCCAGCTCTTTACACTCGAGTATAGAGTGTACATCCCAGCTCGTAATGTGGAGATCGAAGGTGTGGTCACCGAAGCGAGTCTGACCCCCGAGATCTTGGCGAAGCAAGCGGTTGGCCGTTTCAAGAACCCCTTGCTTCCGACGGTTGAGATACTGGAAGTCCAGAAGCTGAACTCAGTATCTTTCAGCGAGGGTAAAAAGAGCTTTACCCCCACAGACTCGTTTCGAGTGACCTTTTCTGGTTCAGCCCTTCCTCACTACATCGAGTTGGGAAAACTTCGGCTACCTGTGCGTTTGTTTGTTCCTCGGGTCATGAACTGCCAAAACTGCAAACAGTTGGGACATACGGCCTCTCACTGTGGCAGCAAGGCACGCTGTTCCAAATGCGGGGAGAAGCACGAGGATGGCGCCTGCACAGTCACTGCACCAAAATGCGTGTACTGTAAGGGAACTCCTCATGGTCTCTCGTCGTGCCCGGCGTACAAACAACGCGGGGAGAAACTAGAACGCTCTCTTAAGGAGCGTTCCAGGCAGTCTTTTGCAGCAATGCTAAAGACAGCCACACCATCAACCAACGACAAAAATCCCTTTGCTGTTTTGTCTGATGACGAGTCTGACTCTTACTTAGCTGAGGAGGGAGTTTCTTTCAGTTTTCCGGAAGGTTCTGCACGGAAACGAAAACGCATCCGTTCGCGGAAAGTTGCAGATAAGGAACCCCAAATCAGCTTGCCCAAATCAAGGAGTGATGGAAAAAAGGAAGTTTTAACTCCTCCTGGTTTCCGCAGAACTGACTATAACCAGAACTTTCCATCTCTCCCGGGGACATCAAAAACCCCTGATGGCCCATTTTTAAGAACAGAAGCCCCTTCTTCATCCGGGTTGTTCTCATTTGATAAAATTGTGGACGATATTCTCAAGTACCTCAATATTTCTGATCCTCTCAAAAGCATTGTTCTGGCAATGCTTCCTTCTGTGAAGACCCTCTTGAAGCAATTGACATTGAAGTGGCCCCTCATTGCAGCAATCATTTCCTTCGATGGATAATTTTCCAAACGAGGTCGGGGATTTGATCACTGTTCTACAGTGGAATTGTCGAAGTCTCATTCCTAAATTAGATTTTTTTAAGTTTTTAATTCACAATAATGATTTTGATGCATTTGCTGTTTGTGAAACTTGGCTCTCTTCAGATATCGATCTTCCTTTTTATGATTTTAACATTATTCGACTGGATCGTGAGGATTCGCGTGGAGGAGGGGTACTTTTGGGGATCAAAAAGTGCCATTCCTTCTATAGAGTGAATCTTCCACAATTTCCAGGTATTGAAGTTGTTGCATGTCAGGCTATTATTAAAGGTAAGAGCCTTTGTATTGCTTCTGTTTATATTCCTCCTAGAGCCGTTGTTAATCGCAAACAACTTTCAGATTTCTGTTCGGTACTTCCTGCTCCACGGTTGATTATGGGAGATTTGAATTCCCACGGTACAGGCTGGGGGGAACTGTATGATGACAACCGTTCTACTTTGATATATGACCTCTGCGACAGCTTTAATATGACAATTCTTAACAATGGAGAAGTAACACGTTTGGCTGGCCCATCCTCGAATGGAAGTAGATTAGACCTCACACTTTGCTCTAACTCATTATCGTTGGATTGCACGTGGAATGTGATCCAAGATCCCCACGGTAGTGATCACTTGCCGATCAAAGTTTCAGTTGCCAGTGGGTTCAATCCGTCGGAACCCGTTAACGTCGCGTACGATCTTACCCGTAATATCGATTGGACAAAGTTCAAGAATGTGATAGAAGATACCCTAACGTCGGTAGATGGGCTTCCACCGTTGGAGGAATATAACTTCCTCTCCAATCTGATCTTGGACAGCGCGCTTCAAGCTCAAACTCGGCCGGTTCCAGGAACGTCTTTCCGTAGGAAACCTCCTTCCCCTTGGTGGGACCAGCAATGCACTGAGGTTTATCGTAAAAAGTCCGACGCGTTTAAGCTTTTCCGGAAACGTGGAACACCCGTACATTTCGAAGCGTACTCGGCTCTTGAACGCGAACTCAAGAGCCTCATCAAAGCCAAGAAACGCGGATACTGGCGGCAATTCGTGGACGGATTATCGCGCGAAACGTCGATGAATACGCTTTGGAATGCGGCGCGAAGGATGCGTAACCGGTCTTCAAACAACGAGAGCGAGGAGTACTCCGATAGTTGGATTCTCAAGTTCGCGCGAAAAGTATGTCCTGATTCTGTGCCGGCACAGATGATTCCTCGCGAAACGACGAATTCGGTAGACGAGATCAGCCAGCCTTTTTCAATGCTGGAGCTCTCACTCGCGCTCCTTTCGTGTGGCAATTCGGCTCCGGGGGCTGATAGAATCAAGTTCAACTTGTTGAAGAACCTCCCAGACGTCGCTAAAAGGCGCATGTTGAACTTGTTTGGTCAGTTCCTGGAGCTTAATATTGTTCCGGATGATTGGAGGCGGGTGAGAGTTATAGCCATTAAAAAGCCTGGAAAACCCGCGTCAGATCACAACTCGTATCGTCCCATTGCGATGCTATCGTGTATTCGAAAATTGTTGGAGAAAATGATCCTTTTTCGCCTGGACAAATGGGTTG